TGCTGAGAACAGTGTTCAGATTCTGGATATGCTGTTCATCATCCTTGCCCGTGATCAGAATGTAATCTTGAATGGCTGCGACATGCTCAGGACCTTGAAGAATGATGTCCATGGTCCGTTGAAAAATTGCCGGGGATGAGGCGATACCGAACGGTGGCCTATTCTATGATATAGACCACGATGTGTGTTGATGATTACGAACTGCTGACTGTCAAGATCCAATGGGAGTTGCTGATAAGCATTCCTTAAATCAAGCTTGGTGAATTGTTTTCCGCCTCGCAACTTGACAAATACATCCTCAAGCAGGGGGACTGGATACTGAGGGACATTGAGTTGGGGGTTGACCGTAACAGCATAGTCTCCACATAACCGTGTGGTACTATCCGCCTTTGGAACATGAACCATGGGTGTTGCCCATTCACTGAATTCGACCTTTTCCACAAACTTTCGGATTCGAGTCGGTGGTACTCTGCATCTACTGCTTCCTGGAGAGCGTAAGGTACTGGGCGGGCCTTGCAAAACTTTGGCTTGGCATCCGGCTTCATCTCCAATTTAGCTGTGATTCCCTGAATAGTACCAAGGCCAGGCTTGAAGACATTAGAGTGACGCTGGAGTGTGTTTTGCAATTGTGACTCGACATCTGGAGTGAGGCCTGGATCTGAGACATGGATGCTACATATTTTCTTCCAATCCAGGTTGACACGAGAAAGCCAATTTCTTCCAAAGAGTGATGGTCCGGAGCCTTAACATCTTTAACTACAAGGAGTGGCACAGTGGCATGCTGATTTTGATACTTGAGTTGTACTTCGGCACTTCAACCGTGTGGATGTTCTGAGATTTAGACTTGTATGCATCTGTAATATGACCCGATCGCCCACAGGAATGGCATTATAGTTCCTGTATTTGCACTGGGAACGTGCGCGGCCTGTTTTCCCGCAACTAAGGCACTCAGAAGTGCTTTTGTTTTGATTTTGGTTAAGTGGCTTTTTGCCTCGGCCCTTGCATGGAGAACTGCGTGTTCTGCGGGGACGATAAGTCTGACGGCCAACAGAATCGGGCTTGTTTACCGGAGTAGCGTCCTCTCGAGAGAATGCAGCGACATCTGTCTCGGCAGCCTCAGCGCCGAGCGCTTTTTTGAGAGCGTCGTAAAAATTGTGTTCGTCGGTTAACAACTTTTTCTGGATCTCCTTGTTGCGAAGTCCACAGACCAGACGATCACGTAGAGCTTCATTCAGATGTGTGCCGAAGTTGCAGGTAGAAGCGAGGTGTTTGAGCTTGGCGGTGAAAGTGGAAACGCTTTCTCCTTCGAGTTGAATGCAGTTGTGAAATCGATATCACTCTGCGATAAGAAGTTTCTTCGGAGCAAAGTGGTCCTCGAGAATGGTTGCGAGATCACCGTAAGTTTTCTCCGAAGGAGCTTCTAGTGAGCACAGGTCCGAAAGGACGCCGTAAGCTATGGAACCGATGACAGACATCAGGGTTGTTCTGCGTTTGAATCTTTCGCCTGTATCCACTGGAATGCCCTTCGCGATAAAATACTGCTCCAAACGCTCCAAATAACGATTGATATTGGTGGAGGCTGGATCGAACTCTTCTATTTTGCCTAAGTTTGGCATGATTCCGTCCTCGTCGCCAGATATGTTATGTTTTTGGGTTGTAGAAGAGTTCACACACAAGATGGTGGGTCAAGAGCAAGATTATATTGATAAGAGCACGTGGTAACAATACCGCTGCATACTACGCGGGCTCACAACAAACGGAGAGGCAATACAGAACATCTCCATACTATAACAAAAGCAAGTAGATTAGATTATCAAATAAGAAATTGGTATACTATATTTATAATATTTTAGACCAATTTGAGAGAAGAGTGAATGTTTAAACCTTATGCCAGAAGGGAAAAAAAACATGTAAGAGTGGTGGTCATAAATTGAGGTTCAACTTTTTTCATTTGGATTTAACTCATTTTTACCATGGTAATTTTTTGGGTGAATCTTCATTTTGCGTGATTTTCAAACATCCTGTTATCAGTAACAGTCCCTAACAATATAATTATGTAGTAACAGCCAGGGGAGACATAAGATGTCTAACAAAAGTTGTTGACAGATATTTAAAAACGTGTAGTCTACCCATCAGAACCAGACGAAGAGGACAGAGAAACGATTGAAATTGGTTCTTCTGAGGAGGATGACGAAAGTTTTGATGATGAACCATGTGACAGTGGACAAAATGCGGCTGTTTAGTAGAATGCTTATTTTCTTTTTGTTATCATAGGTACTACTATTATATATTACCCTGCTAATCCCCCGAGCTTTCCACACATAGCCATTTATAACCCACCCTAGGATAGGTTAGCGGCTGGACTGCTGTGGGCATTAGCCTTGACATTAACCTCCCTCCATTCACACTCACCACCCTCCAGACCTAGAATGTTAGCCCAGTTGCTGAGGTGTGTCAGGGTACAGGCCACAATAAATAAGACAAGCCCCTTCCATCGGACAGGCTGGCTTGAAGGTGGGCGATGCCCGACTTCAATGGAAGTTCGGAGTCCTTATTCAGGATAACGCAGTAAAAATGCAAACAATTGGAAAAGCATGAAGACCTGGCTCACAATCTAGGCTAAAGAAAATAGATTCAGTCTAGATTGTGTGAGCTACGATCCMATKRAATTKGKKKWAARSYKAARRARKTTTTYCCYWARG